TAAAAGGAATTCGCCACTTATCGTTCTCTCGTCCTCGGTCTCACTACTCAGCTCGAGGCCGCCCGAAATGATACATCTCTCCTGCTTGACTTCTCTTCTCGTCAAGCTAACGCTTTAAACAATCTCACTGCGGCGTTAGTAGATGCAGTCAACACTGGGGCTCTGGACGACGGAGCAAGGACGAGGTTAGCGGACGTCTCTCGCCGAAGCCTTACTGAGATAGCCGATGTTCGCCGAAGACTGTTCGACACCCCCTTCCTAGTCACTCCTATGGCGTATGAGCCACCACCGTCCCTTGACTGGTTAGGTCGCCGTAGTAGTTCTCGTGTCCCAGCTTCCGCCCAGACTGCTCTCGACCTCCTCAGTCTTCCCTTCGAGTGTCTACGGACCATACGTTCTCTGTGGAGGACTCCAAGCATGCAAGCTGCTCGAGATGTCCAGGACTTCGGTGACTTCTTCGGGGCTATGAATCGGGCATGGAATGCTTCTCTCTCTACTGCGTTCCCGTCTGAGACTCTCGATCTACCTTCGGTCATCGGTAGCCTCCACACCAATCCCGCGGGACCGAGTAGATCGAAGGAGAAAGGAAAAGGAAAAGGTAAGGGTAAGAGTAAGGACAAGTGAGCGGTACGTAGCTGTAATCCTATGTTGTATGCAGTACGTTCTATCTCCTAGCCCTTCGCAGTCGCCCTTCCTTCGGCTTAGTAGGGTGAAGTTCGTGGAACTTCGCCAATATGTCGTCAGCTCCATCGACGTTCTCCACTGGTTCCCATGATACTGAGTCGTCTGTTCCTTCGTAACCTAACCACTCCACCAAGTACTCTAACTTTCCTGACCTCTTATTTACTCTAGAGTCTACAATGTCTTTTACCTCCCACGATTCCCCTACATTATCTACCTCTACTGGGCCAGGTGGTTCAGCTTGCTGACCAGGGAATACTGGAGGATGATAAGGACGGAGCAAGGAGACATGGAATACGTCATGGATACCTGCCATCGTTCCTGGTAGTTCCAATTTACAAGCATGAGAACCCACCTGCCGTACTACTTTGTACGGCCCACTTTGCTTAACATCTAACTTCTTCATTGGTCTCTTCGTCTTAATATTCTCTAACGACAGCATCACTAGGTCTCCTTCCACGAAGTTCGGCGTAGCCCGGTGTTTCCTATTGTATCCTTCGGCGTACCTCTCATTAGCTTTCTCAATTCCTTCGATACAATCCTTGTGTATTTCAGTCAAGTCTTTTACCATCACCGTAGCAGCGGGTACTTCGACTTCACTGGCCTTGATCTCTTCCGCCCACCGAGGATGATATCCATAGTTCGCATAGAATGGTGTCTTATTAATCGCGGAATGGTGGGTGTTATTGTAGGCGAAACTAGCTCGAGCTAGTAGCTTCGACCAATCGTTCTGCTGATAAGAAGTGAAGATTCGAAGGTAGAGCTCTAAGGATTGGTTGGTTCGTTCAGTCTGTCCATCAGTCTGCGGATGATATGCAGTAGAGAGATGTAGTCTTATCCCGAGACTATCGGTCAAGTTCTTCCAAAATTTCGAGGTAAACTTCGATCCCCTGTCAGACACTATGTTCTCTGGTAGCCCATGCTGAGCTACCACATAGTCCATTATCAACTCGGATAGGCCAGCTGCGGTTAACTTCGTCGTAGTCGGGATAAAAATGGCCCATTTGGTCAACCGGTCCACCACTACTAAGATGGAATTGTATCCATGGGAATTCGGGAGCTCTTCAATGAAATCCATCGAAATGCTGGACCATGGCTTCGTAGCCACTTCCAGTGGTTTAAGCTCTCCATGGGGTCTCTGCCTGTTAGTCTTTGCTCTCTGACACACCGCACATCCAGCGATGTAATCTTCAACATCCTTCCTTACTCCAACCCAAACGTAGTCCCGTAGGACTAGCTCGAGAGTCTTCGCTGAGCCTGGGTGACCCGCTAGGACCGAGTCATGCCGCGTCTTCATTATCTTTAGTCGAGCATCGGCGTAGTTCGGCACATAAGTTCGACCATCGAACGTGAGGAACCCTCTTGAGTTCCATCCCCCACGAAGTATTAAGGGAGACCGCGAGGTACGGCGTAGTTCGGTGACCGACTCTGGTTCCTGCACATCATCATGACATGTCGGATGAGAGCACTTAGCACAGGTTACCCCCAATAATTCTTCTCTAACCTCCTCCACCTCTTCGTCTTCCTGTATTCCAACTATCAAATCTATAGGGTCAATGAGGTCGTTCTCTCGTACTTCCTTTGTTCCTTGTAAAGCCCGAAGCAGGTGTTGTAACCCAGAGCTAGTATCATCAAGTTCGTCGAACTTCGGCAGACCTTGGATAAGGTTGCTCTCTTGCACCATAGTACTTCCTTTCCCTGAGTGGTAGTCTGCTCTTCTCGACAGTCCGTCCGGCAGTGTAGCTTGTTTTCCTGGTCGATACACCATTTTAAACCTGAAGTTAGAGAGCTCTTCGACCCACCTACCCTGCCTGGGGCTAAGTTGTTTAGGTTCCATCCAGTAAGTTAAATTTAAGTGATCTGTGAGAACTGTAGTCTCTACCTGTAGTAGTAAGTGTCTCCTTCTCCTGAAAGCTTCAACGATAGCGAGTAATTCCTTTTCGCCTACCGTGTAGTTTAACTGCGCCGCCTGGAACGCTCCGGACTCGATAGCCACCGGGTGTTCTTGCCCCAACTCGTTCACCTGCGAAATTATGAATCCCCAGCCGAAGAACGACGCATCTGTTTGTAGTAGCGTCTTCAACGAAGGGTCAAAGTGAGCCAATACTGGCGCCCTACACATCCTATCCTTCAATTCTTTAAAGGCTCTTTCCTGCTCTACTCCCCAAACAAACGGCACATCTTTCCTGGTGAGGTCATTGATCGGTTTAGCAATCTTGGAGAAGTTGGGGACAAAACGCCGATAATAACTGACAACTCCCATAAATCCCCTACTCTCTCGCAAGTTCTTAGGACGGGGAAAAGATACGACAGCATCGATGTAATCCGGGTTACTGGAAATTCCCCTCTGTGAAACCACGAACCCCAGGAAGACTACCGAATCTCTCTCAAACTCGCACTTACTGGCTTTAACGAACAAATTCGACCTCCGAAGCACTTCAAACACCTTCGCCGTAGTTCCCCTCAGTTCTTCCAACGTTTGACCGTAGATGAGTATATCATCTATGTAGACTACTACTCCCTTTCCCAGCACCTCTCGAAAACTTTCATTCAAGAAGTGCTGAAACACAGCGGGAGCATTCCGTAGGCCATCTCGGACAACAAGAGACTCGAACATACCGTACTGCGTCCTGAACGCTGTCAGGTGTTCATGACCTTCCTTTACTCGTAGGAGTTGATAAGCCCCAATTAGGTCTAACTTGCTGAAGTACCTCGCTCTTCCCAGCTCTTCGGTTATCTGGCCGATCAGAGGCAGAGGATAGGCGTCGGGTATCGTTGCCTCGTTTAACTTTCGGTAGTCAATGACCATTCGCCATTGACCTTTTGCCTTCTTCGGTACCAAGAACATCGGTGATCCGTAGGGCGAATTACTGGGTCGAATTCTTCCGGCCGACATTTCGCGATCTAGGATGTCTCTCAGCGCACTTCTCTGATCTTCTCCAAGCGAGTAGAGTGGAGCAACCTTCAGGTTCGCCCCCTCCTTAAGATCAAACTCCAAATCATAGCTCCTTGAGGGAGGTAATTCCTCACCTCCCTTCCTTGGGTTAAAGACATCAATGAACGAGTGGTATTGTTCGGGAACCACCTGATACAATTCCTCCTGTTCCTCCGGACTCAGTTCATCCTGATCATCTTTGTCTCGGAGATCTATCGCGTCCGTCGGAGTTGGCAGACCTATGGCCGCTAACTTCGCCGCACTTGGTGGGGTTGGGATGGGAAATTTCACCGAGTTGTCTCTTCCATCAAGGACAACCCCTTCCTTCCTCATCCAATCCCACCCTATCACAACATCTGCGTCGCAGAGCGTTGTTACATCGAGACAAACAGATCGCACTTCGGCGTCCTTCGTCAAACTAAATCCGACTTCGACAAACTCGGTGATGGGTCCAGCGACACTCACCGAGCCGTCGAACATGTGAACGGGTACGCTCACCTGATATCGCCTCTTTTCTACACCTATCTTCGCTGCTGCCTTAGGGCTTATATATGAACAAGTAGCTCCAGTGTCCCAGAGCGTAGTTAGCTTTATTCCATTAATGAAAATGTCCGATTTAGGTTGATCTCTGGAAACGGAAGGGATGAGGAGATGATTATCGACATTGCATGAACAAGGGGTACTGAGTGGTGTATTTTTGTATTCACAATCCTCTGGCTCCATCAGCTGTGTTTCTTTTATGGGTTTGGGAATGGTGGCCGAGAGAATATGGCGGACCCGCCGAGCCTCGCCTACTGCGACAGGTCCTCTTCTTTTCCCTGGTCCTCTTCCAAATCTACTTCTCCTCCAACCGCATTCAAGTTCCTCCTCTGTCCGAGAGGTACTGCGTTCCCTCCCGATCCTCCACCACGTTCTCCGAACTTCTCCCCCCATGGAGGCAACAGTCCAACCTTAACCTTAGCCTCCCTTACAGGGCATTCCTTCAGCCAATGTCCTGCTTCACCACACTCGGTGCACTTCCCCTCCTTCCTCCTTGTCTCCCTCAGATCGGAGCTCGGCCTAGGCCATCTTCGGCGAACTTCGTCGATGTTTGGCGGTGTACTCTTTACCACCGTCGACATCATAGCCGCCTGGACACCGCCCTGCGCCGAAAGTTGCCCCTTTTCCCATTTCTTCTCTTCTTTCTTCTCCGTCCTCTGACTTTCCACCACTGTCGTTGTCCTTATCCCTCCTTCCCTTTTCCTCTCTGCCTCCTTCTCCACTTGTCTCCTCCACAGGCGGTTGTCCAAGGGAATCACAAACTCCAATAGCTCTTTCACAGTCCCAAACGATCTACCGTGTCTTGCAATTTCATCTAGAAGGTGCGATTTTAGTCCTTTCTTGGCTCGGTCAACTAGGTTTCCATCATCAGACCACTTAAGAATCGCAACATGTCGCTGGAAGGCGGAGAAGTAGTCCGAAGCAGACCCGGTTTGCTTGAGGTCGTTAAGTTGTCGGGCCGCAGTTCCTTCTTCGTCTGGATCACCAAAGTTAGTCTTGAGGTACTTAACGAACTGATCGTGTGTCGTGAGGTACTCAGGAAGAGGTCTTTTGGATAGATCGGGCTGCACTGCAAGAAGAGGTGTTTCGCGTAGATGAGAGATCATGAAAAAGACTTTCTTAGTGTCGTCGGGGAAAAGATGAGAGTTCAATTCGAAATGTACGTCGCACTCAGACAGAAAGGCGGTTAACTTGTTCCGATCTCCTCTCCAGAGGTCTGGGTTAGGTAGCTTTATCCCCTTCCGTTGTTCGCCCACTACGCTTGGGGTCGCCGAAGTTTGCCGTCCCATGGCGTACCTCACTCCTTCTGATATCCCTTCTGCAATCCCGCCCACTGTATCCCTTTCTCTTCTCTGTTCCCATTCCTCCCTACGCCTTCTCTCCTCCATCATGTCTTTGTTCATATTCGCCACCATCTGCATCAAGGCCAACACCACCCCTTGTGTTCCTTCTTCTCCCAAGTTCGCCGTACTTCCAGTGTTTTCTCTTGGGCGTGGGGTTTGGTCTGACCCAAGTGGGGATCCCACAGGTGGGAGAGCATTAGACGGAGGAGAAGGAGGGTTAGAAGGCACCGGTGGAACGAACTCATCTCCTTGAATTGATCCCCCCACACTATCCTCCACTCCAAGGTCCTGCCCCATTGCTCTGCTAAGCTCCTCCAATGCTCTCCTCTCGTTCTCCTCCATCCTGTCTCCATCCCTACTCATCCCTCGTGTAATTCTTCTTTCTGGTTCCATATTATCTTTGTACTTCTCCGAGGTTCGCACGGGTCGTCGGTAAGAGCGATCCTTGATACTGTCACGGCCGTCGAGCAACTTCTTCCTTATAGACCGACGGTCGACGAACCTCGGCTAACTTCACACTTCTGAGTCGATGTCTCACCCAACCAGGAGGGCGCAGACGTCGAAAGGAGTGTAACTACGGCGTACTTCGGCGTAGTTACTCTAACTAAGGCTTTGTTCTATTGATGGCGATGTATCTCGATGTATAGCTATCTCTATTTGTCTTTTACTACTGACAACAATCAAGGATCGCTGAAGAACTTCAGCGATCTTCTCAGCTAATATTATCTACTCCTCCTAGACGTTCATCCAACCCTCTCGCGCTTTGACGTACTTCAACGCACTTCGTCCAACTTCCCCGAGCCCTCGGCCATCCTCTTCCTCCTTCGACTAACTCCGCCTAACATCGCCGCACTTCTGCTCCCATTGTCCCTACTTAGCCTAACTCCGCCTAACATCGCCGCACTTCTGCTCCCATTGTCCCTACTTAGCCTAACATCGCCGCACTTCTGCTCCCATTGTCCCTACTCAGCCTAACTCCGTCTAACTTCGCCGTACTTGGTGTCAGAAGTCCTGAGTTACGTGTAGAGTAAAGAGGTTAAGGCGTGATGGGGTTTTGATGGCCAAAGGAGGGTCATTGTTGGTGGAGTAATCGAGGTGTCACGACGTAGTTCGTGACAAGGTAGTGCATAGCTTAGAACAACTTCGACGAATGTATCTTGTCTGTCTCAACATACAAGTTCTCTTATACATTTGCCAAAACTTATTATTCACTCCTCGAACTATTTGCTTCGATCCTCGTATCCTCTTACAACTAGTTCAAGTCCCTACAAGTAGCTCATCACCCTCGACGCAGATCCTTCGACCTTCGGTCTGGTCTTGACACTTAGGTATCGGAAAGAGGTCGATTGCATATGTGGAGATTGTATCAATCACTTTCTCTACCTATGATGGTGACAAGTTGTACGGGAGATTCAGCCAATTAGCCATGTTTTGAGAAGCAACGACTCTCCACTTGAGACGTTGGAACGATAGTTGATTCTCCACCCAGGTGATCGAGATGTGTAGGGTCTGAGGAAAGGTACATCTGTTTTATCACTCGGACGACAAGGTGCGGCATGGTTGCGTAGGTGTAAGTGTAAATGGGCAGTGTAAAAGCATGACTCGCACATCGGAAACACTCCTGCTCCACACTAGATGACATTTCGGAGGTGAATTGCCTCTTTCAGCCCGGGTAGGAAAGATAAATTGGAGGAAGGTGAAATAATTGATGAATGGTCTACACTCCGGTCGAGGCCTGACCACATGGTTGCGACGGATCTATCGTATCCGTCACCTGTTGCTCATTCAGCACTTTCCTATGAGTGATGCATGTACTTACCTGTTGCTCATTCAGCACTTTCCTATGAGTGATGAAGAGACAACGGGTAATGATCTGGCTATATACTACTACCAGCGGAGTTTACCGCTGTTGTATAAGGAGGACACGTGATCGTACTACCTACTTCCAACGGGTTGCACATATTAGACCTGTGCTACTTGTAAATCCCACGCCGAGGTGGCGAAGCGGGGTGGCGCGCTAGAATGCAAGAGTGTAGTTGGAGCAGAAAGAGAGACGGTCGAGGGAAAAAATTGTCCGTACGGATGAAAGGATCGCTCTTTTGCCCAAGCTTTGTGTCTCTTCCAACACCTCTCCACTCTCTTCCATTACTTTATCAACACTCCAACACACTCTTTCAAGTGAAGATCTCTTCACAACTTGATCATAATGAGTAAGCCTTCCATCAAGAAGGAGTCTGGATCAAGTGGGAGCGACGTTGGTAATATGACAGACTCTACCGATGGCACACCTACTCCGTGCAGAACGGGCTTCTTCCACCCTTTGAGACCAGTCAAGTTTCCGAGTCCTGAGGGGAGGGTATCAGGGAAATTGTCTGACGAGAGGATCTCATCGATTGACCTGAGGGCTCCCACTCCCCTCCAGGATCTCAAAATGAAATTGCTGAGGATCAAATGAGGGTCCTGTCATAGGGAGGAAGATTGGAGGGTGGCAAAATTGTAGCGGAGGGAATGACTACAGATACGGCTCCTATTTGCCAGACCAGGGGGACAAAGAGAAAGTATCAGGATAATGAGGGTAGCCCACATAATGAGGACACCCAACTGCCTGAAGGAGATGGCTCCCAATACAACTCAGAGGATGAAGAGAGTCAAGAAGGTGCCTCTGGACCAACAGAGCAACTGCGGACTCTAAAATTCGAGGATGGGTCACAAAGTGCAGATGATTGGATTGTGTGCGGTCATCAACCCGATGATGAGGACAATGAAGACGTCGAGGTTATTTGCATCCTCCAGGAAGACCTATCGATCCGTCCTCCCACATGGACAGACCTCCGGCAAGGGCAAGTACGGGCCAAACACTCGGTCAAAGCTCATTACGAAGCTTGGCTGAAATATGTTAGGGACACAGCCGGAGACGTTCAGCTCTGGAGCTGCACGGTTCAAAACACCCCCTTTGGACCCAGCCAGAGAAGCGTACACCTCCGGAGGTGACCGGACACACTCAGAGCTTTTTCAAAACGGTGTTATGATCACTGCTCAGCCCCTCTTCTCTGTGTGTGCTACGGATGACTCTATGTACCACTATCTCCATTGTGTCTCTTTGACAAGTAGTGTGAAACTTTGACGTCCAAACCTATCCCAAGAGTCTCTTCTTGGACCTAACTGGATGTCCCAATTGTTGGTTATGCATGAGTGTGTGCAAGATAGTCTGGGGATTTGAAGTGTATGGTCATCACCAAACAGGTGCTGAGTACTTATCTCATTAATAAAGTCCTTTGTGGTTCTCTTTCATGGGGTGAAATATGTATTTTAGACCGGCCATGCACAATCTCTTCCGGGAGGAACGCCCAGGAGTGCGTTCAGCTCTGGAGTGGAATGTCTCCCACTGGCTGATCAGGTCCGTGCAGCTCCGGAGGTGCACGTCTCCTGCCGTGTCCCTAACAGTAGTATAACTCCTGTGTCTACTCCTCGGCAATGTCCCTTGGTCACGGGAGTGGCGCTCCCAGTCAGTCTGATAATCTATGCCCCTCAAGTCTGCCTTCACGTCACCGACGGAATAGCAGCGCGATGTCGCTCGTCATAACAGCGGGGGGCAGTGTCCCCTCCACTGGTACTCCAGGGTTCTCCCCAATGTCGACCCGGGCTTCACCCATGCCCCTGAACTTCCGTGATTCCTTATCACCTTTGGGTGACCCGTCCCACCAGAATGACAACTCGGAAAACGAGGTTGTTGACCTGTTATATCGCACTGGGCTGGGTAAGAAAACAGATGACAGTGGAAACTCTTCCCTGTCAGACCCAGAAGATCAAGACTCACGACGTGCCCCTTCACCAGGTATCAACCCCACAGAAATCACATTTGCTAAAGCACCAAAGCTCCGCACAGGCACTTCACCTCGTATCAAATCAGAAGACTCATCTGATGTAGATCAATTGGACGACACTGAGTACGAGTACACCAATGCCCCCGACTTGAGTTTAAGTCCTGGTATGGTCATTGCCCCTGACGCCACAAACAGCAGCCCCAACGTCAAGGATGGGGGCCCAACAGCATCATCACAATACAGTGGCTTTCCAACTCCAAGGAGGGCTCCTAACCAACTCACGCTCAAACCCTCAGAGTACCATCAACCGAAAAGACACAAGGAGGTTTCTGACAATGAAAACGGGACTGCAGAGGGACAGTCATCTGGAGCTGAAGACTCCAAAGAGAATGAAACGCACAACAGTCCAGGGCATATGACGCCTGATGCGGAAGGTGTCAGAAGTGCTTCAAGTGATGAGGAGGCAGAAGGAGGGACAGAGTCTCAAGAGGAAGGTGAGGTGCAGAATGATTTCGGTGATAAGAGTGACAAGTCGGACCGTTCTGGATCGGCCAGCCAACGATCTGATACTTCTGGGGGCCCGGTTCCCACAAGGCGGCCAAAGACATCATCAAGCTCGAGGGTGGCCAGCAGAGGCAGGGGAGAACCACGACCGGCTACATCATCAAGACCTGATACGCGCCAACCCCGTAGGTCAGGACGATTAATAGGTTCCAGAACCGAAAATCCCCGTGGGCCTGTAAATCGCAATGGGCCTGCAACTCGCAGTCGAACACGCCAAAACTCAATTGGTGGACAATCAGTGACTCGCCAACGCCAAAACTCAACTGGTCGACAAGGCCGCCATCAAGCAAGCAGGAACAAGGAAGAAGACAGCGATGAAGAACGAAGTAGTACTGATGAAGATAGCAGTGATGATGGTGATGATGATGATGATGATGATGATGATGATGATGATGATGATGATGATGATGATGATGATGATGATGATGATGATGAGGATGATGATGATGATGATGATGATGATGATGATGATGATGATGATGATGATGATGATGATGAGGATGATGATTATGAGGATGAATAAAAGGAAGAGGAAGAAGAATAATCCCCCCTTGTCCATCTCTGAATACTCAGATGACGTCAAGAGGAGGTATAGCAGTCATGTATCCTTCTTACTATGTCTATGCAAGTTTGACTATACATGATACTTACTGTGGCAGATGATAGTGTGTACTTGCAGGACATTGAAACTCAACACCCTGATTAACGTCCATATTCATGGAGTGGAGTTATATCCAGCTATAGATGAGCACACATACTGTACATATTTTCAAACACTTCGTTTCAAGAACCAGATGGTTTTTATTACACTCCTTCAAGACGAGTGCGAGATGAGACTAGCTTACGACCTCAATGTAGTCAGTCAATCGAAGGGACCCAGAACCCACGATGAAAAGCAGTTCATCCAACTTCGGATCACCTATGAAAGCATGGGGGACTGAAGGGACGTTGCAGCGGAAGGAAAGCGTCAGAATGAAGTGGACAAGGGTGGAAGGTACCACACGGAACTAGGCGCCACTAGTCACAACAACTTCGCACGGGATAGGAGCAAGGGATCTATGTAAATCACCTACATAGCATCATTACATCATCCTTCCTTCATCTCACCACATACATTCATCTACACATTCATCTCCCATCATCTCAACAGTTTCCCATCAAGTGTTCACTTCAATGACTAGTATTCACCAAATCATGATTGAACCCACTACCTCTATTGCGTCATTCACTCCAATATACCTCCAACACTCGACTCATCCCCCAACCTTGATCCCATATCTCGTCGCCACTACCCCGGCTAACCTATCCACTTCCAAACTCAAATCCCTTATCCTACCATCCCATCTCTCCGTCCAACTTACCGGCTCAACTCCTTGTTCATCACTTATCACACCTAAACCACCTGCTACTTGTTTACCTTCTTCATCTTCTTCTCTATCTTCGAAATAAACAAGATGACGAGGTTGGTCCATCCATCCTCTGAGACGACCTTGTTCGATCATACGTCGGACCATAGTTTCGATAAAGTCTATAGAATCTGTTGTTTGTGATGTATGGTTTGATGTTTCTTCTCGTTAGCGAATCGCACATCGCCTCGGAAAACTATCTCCCGCTTTATAATTGGTGGATTGTGCATTATCCCTTGATTGGATCAGACCATTGATTTCTACCAGACGAAAGGAGCTGAAGCGTGGAGAGACAAGTGGGTGAATAATATGGGGATCGAGGTCAGAAAACAAGAAGAGAAAAAGACTCACCATTATAACCCAATATCTCACCCAAGCGCACAAAAGAGATATTCGAATACAATTTCGCACAAGCAGCAACATTATGTTCCCTCACTGCTCTTTCTAAAACCGTACCTCCACCCTCTACGATAGCTCTCTGATGAGGTTCTAGTAGATCTTCAAATGTGTGTAATTCCGAAGGTCGGACGATGGATTCGAGTAACATTTTACGGAGCATGACTGTGAGAGCAGGGGTGAGAGAAGGGAGACGATCGTCCCTGTTTAAAGTGGTAAGAGAACGTGAACGTTGAGGTCCGGAAGGAGCAAGGATGGAAGTTATGACTGCTGCTCGTCTGTTGGTCAATACGAATTTCACCTCTTTCTCTTCTGATACAAATTCTACCTCTTGAATCGTAGCTTTGGAGTAGAGGAAAAATATGGTATAGACGAGGAGAAATTGTACATATGGACACCAAAGGAAAGAAAAGCGACGTAGCAAGGATTCTCAAGTTGGTTGTGAAATGAAGATACTGTAGGGGAAAGAAGATCTACTTACAACATTTGCATCCTTTCACCTTCATCGATATCCTTATCAAAACTCAATTCATGATATCTCTGAGCGGCTTCATTGAACCTAGCTGAAAAATCAAATATTCTCGCTTGAGCCAGACGATATGATAATTGAGTGGTTTTATCGGTAGTTAGATGAATGAGCATCGAAGCTCTTGTGAAATACGTTTGAGCTTGACCCCATTCTCCGCACTGTTGATCAGTGATAATTCTCTCATTTCCAACGTCTCTGTCCAGGATATCTTCCCAAGTAGGGTAATAGGGAATCGGCTGTGACATAGATCCAAAAGAGTTGGGTTTGTATACTGAACTGGAGGGTAACGTATGAAGGGCTTATGATAGAGAAATGGGGTTTCTGGTGGTTCCAAAAGAGTATGAATCGTAGAGATGTGATGAGATGATCGGAACAGAAAGTCATGAGGATCGAAAGAAAGAAACATGAAAAAGATGACTAACCTCGAGGAGTAATCTCACAATGGTCATGTACACAGATAACTTTTCTTCATCACCTACCAACCTGTTCAGATTAGTGACGTTGAGAATCGAGAGAAGAAAAACATTTACCTAGTCCCACCTTCCAAAGGAATATTCATCAACACTTTCGCAGCTCCTTCCCAATCTTCTTCTTCTTGTAAAAGATGCGCATGTAAGTATCTCAAAACAGTTGTCTGTTCCCGTCAGCCCAACATTCGACTCCTTCTTCCTCTCATGGAAGTCTGGAAAGGAACAACGTGAGGGATAATCATACTTACTTGTTCATCATGCCAACCACTTCTGACATTCATCAATTGTAACCTTTCCAATACCTCCCCTCTCTTCTCCCTTCCATTTTCACCTTTGAAAGCTTCTTCTCCTAAACGTTCGAATTGGACGTTATCAGGTCCGACCGCATCGTGCAAGGATAAAACATGTTTTGGGTCTAAACCACTCCCACCGCATAGAGCGATGGTATAGGCAGATAAGACTCTACGACCTATAGCTACCGCGGGGGACGAAGATGATAGAAAGTATTGACCGAACTGTACTAGATCAGTAACGAGTGAAGGGGAAGAAGGTAGGAGGATGGATTGAAGGATTGAAAGTGATTGTCCGACTCTATCTTTGTGTCTTTTCACCCGTTAGCTGATATTGATAATGGAAGTTGATGACATACTGTGAGATACCTTCAAGTCGCTGTATGACCGAGATTACTTGATCCATGATGTATATGAACGGTGTATGAAGAGTCAGTAGTTGGTGGAGGGAGGTGCAGTGGCAAAACCGGATAATCCCGTCACTTCTGTAATTATTCCCCTCACTCTTTCTCCGTTTTTCCCAAAACACGCCACTCAACCTTTCCTTCACCTCACTCCACATCCACATACCATCACTCCACATCCACATACCATCACTCCACATCCACATACCATCACTCCACAACCACATACCATCACTGCTGAGTCAAAACTCCCACTTCAAAACCATGCTCAGTTCTCTGCTTTTTTCACTTAACCTGCTCCCACACATGTGTTCAGGTCAATCACCCTCTTTTCGGGCCCGGAATCACATACCGGCTCGATATGCAGTCATTTCCATTTTCCACCTGAACTAACGCCCGAACTGCCACCCCAACCTCTTCGGGTCCCTTCGGGTCCCTTCGGGTCCCTTCGGA